CACCATTCAGCCGGCTAGCTTTTCGCTGGTGCAGGTGAGGATTCCCACGCGCCCCGCAGAGAGCGGGACGTCGCGCCTGGTGCTCTCGGCCGGTGTGCCGCATCCATCGGACAAGCGGCTGCGGGAGCTGCCTGCCGTCTATGGCATCGTGGCTGCTAACGTCAAGGCGAATTGCCTGAAGGCCCAGCCACCGCCGCCTCCGCCGCCATCATCAGGCGATGGTGCCGATGTCGGCCTCAGCGGGGCGCGGCACCGACATGACGGCCTCCCTCAAAGCTTTGCTCCTCCTAGCGTGGAGGCGGCCGGTGACAGCGTTAAGGTTGCGCAGCTGTGGGGGCTCCACGACAGTGTCCAGGCCGCCCTGGATCGCCTGGTTGTCGGGCCAGACAACAATGCAGACCACGAACAGATATCTCTGCGGCTCGGACAACGTAACCTGAAACAGCTCGCGAGCACCGGATGGATCCGCACGGTAAAAAGGCGAGGGGCAAAGGTGAGCCGCACGAAAGTGTGCCGATAACGGTGCTAATGCAGAGGTGGTTTTTGTCGACGAATCCCCGCCCTACTACGGGTTTTGTGGTGGCAGTTTGGTCCCTGCGCTATGCCATGTCCTTTTATCCTGTGCACGCCGATGTGTCGGCACCATCTCCAACGCAACGCGAGGTATTTGTCGAGCTGGTGTCCGACGAGGCGTGTCAAGACAGCCGCTACATTTTACAGTGGTGCATGGTCCGACGCACGGAGCCTCCGCTCTCCTGTGATAGCGCTGTTACCCCTTCATCATATGTACTCGTCAGTTTTTTTTGTGGTTTCGGGCAAGCTATTTCGACGTCACACCAATCAGTTGCTGATTGCGTTGCTCCCGTTTACATTATTCGTTCCTGAAAGGTGGAGCTATACCAGCAGAGCGGAATCATCCGTGTTACGCGCCTGTGCGTCATCGCCGCCTCTCTAGCTCAAGCGCTCCCGCGATCCGTCCAGCTGGTGAGACGTACTGCATCTGATGTGCGTAGGACAGCGTTAACCCCCATAACGGCAAGTTTTCAGCGCTGTGTCATGTCCAGGAGGCCAAAGTGCTTGGAACGAACGGGACGGGGGGGGGCATCATGCTGTAAAATGGCTGTTTCGGGAGCAGAAGGGGCTGTGCAACGAACTGTGGAGGATCTGCAAGGGTATAGCGTGGCCGGAGGATTCTCAGGAGCGCGAGTAGCATGCGTTTGCCCTTGTTGCCTCCGCCGCACATAGCTACCGCATGTACAACCTGTCCGCCGGTATGTTCAGGGGCGCAGCGCAAGAAACCGGCCGTCCAAACGGAATGGCACGAAACTCCCACACACACACACACCGCCTCCCCCGTTGTGTTTGCCATCGGGGTTGGGTTTTCGTTGCTTGGCAACGACGTTGTAAAACAAGCCAATTCACTTCGTGAACTCGGCAACCAGGTTACCGTTTGTTTTTTACCTCCGTTTTTTTTTTTGGCGGTAACCATAATGGTGGTCGAGGACATGTTGTGCGGGGTGGAGAACCCTCACTCCGCGCAAGGGGGATGATCGCACCACGTTGTGTTAAAATGGTCAAGCACCCTCGAGGCAGTTACACAGTGCTTACAACTGTCTCTGGAAGTGAAAGCACCAGAAAATAAATTAATTCATACGCAGCTGTCATCCGTACGCAAGGAAGTAAGCACAAGATGCCGAACACCCTTAGCAGGATGCAGCGCACCCTTCATGCGACTCGCCGAATATCTCACGGCGCTTCGCGCTTGGTGATGTGAGAGCCTGGTCCGGTGAGAACCCGGCGTGCTCCGTCCCGGCTTTGTAGGGATGCGAGGTCAATGGTCTAACGACTACGGCATGCACGACTATGAGTACATCCCCCCCCCCACATACACACACACCGTTTTT